TGCTGCTGCTGCTGCTGCCGGGTGTTACCGAGTCCGTTCCAACGCACAGCAAGCCCTGTGTACATTCTCAGTCATTGCTACGCTGGGGCCCATTGGGGCAGCACCCAGTCAAGCCGTCTTCCTCTTTTTCACTGACTTTCTGCTTTACCAAGCATGATGTACTTCTACCGGAACCGGTTCCTCCCTGCTGGTAACATGTGCAAAATAGGTGAGATGAGATGTTGCCTTCCTCGCTTCTTGGTAGTGTATTCTGGCTGTACTTCTTTCCAGACAGATGTGTTCATTCCTCTAGCCGTCTATTGTATAATCCAAATTCTTTGCCAACACCATAATTCAAATGCATCTTTATGAAGTCTTCACAAATCCCAGCATATGCAATTTTCAATTGATTACTGCTTTCTTTCCCATGTGAATTATGGTATTGGTGAAGAATATTGAATATACATACCATGGCCTGCCAGCAGAACAAATAAATCTATCTTGGAAAAAGTATGGCCAAAATGCTCTTTACAACCAAAATACTTCAAAGCCGAAACTTTGTCTTGTGTACTTTAGACATGTTATCAGGAGGGACCAGCCCTTCCTTAAAGAATGCCATCATTTGGTTGGTAAGGTGCAGAATCAGCAAAAAAGAGGAAGAGATAGATTGACACAATGGCTGCAGCAATGGGCTCAAAAGAGGGAAGATTGTGAGGACGGGGCAGGGTCAGGCCTATGTTCTCTTCCATTGTACATGGGTTGCTGTGAGTCACAACTGATTCCATAGCACCTAACAATTTCCCCATAACAGAGAGGTGGTGACTAGAACACAAGATTCTGAGTCCATTGGGCCTGGCTTCTGCATGAGCTAAGTGGCCTTTAGAGTAAGTAATTTAACTTCTGGCCTTCTGCCTGAGTTTCCTTACTAATAAAGGGAAAACAGTATTCTTATTACTATTATTTTTTAATAAGCCAATCTGGTAGCTAACTTTCGTGGTGGCGTGGTGGGTTAAAAGTTGGGCTGCTAACCACAAGGTCAGTAGTTCAAAATCACCAACGGCTCCAGGGAAGAAACATGAGGCTCCCACCAGGAGGTATATAGTCTCTGACACCCTTGGGCAGTTAACCGCATCTTACAGGATCTCTGTCCATTAGAATTGGCTTTGATGACAGTGAGGGTGGAGGTGGTCAGCACCACTGAGCCTTGAGTTTAACATGCGATCCTGCCTTTGCCTCCTCTTCAAGGCTCTGAGCTCGCTGAGGCACAGGCATGACGTATTTTTGATATTCAGTAATAGAGATTACCTCGTGTGTGTGTGTGTGTGTGTGTGTGTGTGTGTGTGTGTACACATACATACACTTTCACAAACTTGCTAAGCAGAGGAAATTCCTGTCAGGAAGAATTCTAAGTTTCCCCTTTAACCAAGTCAATTGCATGAGACCCAACTGTGTTGACAGCACTGAGCAAATACTAAATGAAGTGAGAATTAATACAGTTCACACCCTGTCATGCCTTATTTAAATCACCAAGATTATAAAAACACATTCCTGTAACCTGATTCAATCCTGTTACTGATGTTCTGCCTGGGGCAACCCTGCAACTTCTACTTTTTAGAGCGGTTTCTTGGCACCCTGTTTAAGAAATATAATTGGATTTAATGGGAAAGCATAACGTTAAAGTTCTGGCCTTTTGTATCTTACACAGTCCTCACTTTAGTCTGCCAGTCCTTAATCTAAAAGCAGGGCCTCCCAAATGAGCTGTCTTTCCCGTCAGTAGATGGGAAGTGATAAGAGGGCTTCAAACGTTTGTGGGAAAATGGGATTGCAAGATAATGGCATTTTTTTCCACAAACGGTTTGACTTTAGTGGGCAGAAAGGCTGCCCCATGTACTCGGATAAAGAGAAGGCTTGGTAATCAACACTGGCTGGATGACAACAGAACGCAGCCCTTCCTTGACCGTGGACTTATAGTGTGACAGGGATCACACCACAGCTGCCAGGCTGCGAGTGAATTCAGCCTCCCTGACACTCATCACTGCTTGTCCAATACCTTTTACTTTTCTTGTTCTTGAAGGAATCTTTTTTTGTTTGGGGGATTTTTTTCCCCAACGCTTTTTTCCACACATAATTTACATTATCATCATACAATCCAATCGTTCAATCATATCAAGAAGAAGTGTACAATCATTACCACATCACTGAAGGAATGTCCCTGCAGAATTGACCTCTGGGCACTCACCACTCTTGGTTCCCATGTAAGGAACAAGATGCTTGGATTAGGGGCCAAAAGACACCTCTGAGTGTCAAATGCTCACACGGATACTAGGCATTAGGGCGGGGTGGGGGGGGTCAGTGTTCTCACTCCTGTGGGCAGTATGCAGACTTCTAGTCAGTATGTGGAAGGCTTGATGTACACACCTGGGATCGACTGCAGGAGCCAGGCCCCCTAAGAGGCAGGAAATGGGGCTTCCAAAGGAACGTGGGGTTTCTTTCCTTTGTCAAAGGGCAGGCGGGGGGACATTTTCAGACCATACCAATACAAGGCACCGTAGTACAACTGCAGCCTTACCTGGAACTCTGGATCTCAAGAAATAGAGAAACTTCCCATTCTTGGAATGCATGATGGCCCTCTTAATGAACTCTACCACCGACTGACAACGGTCTTCAAACTTGGGATGACACCATAGGCTGAAGGTTCCTGCATTGGGAAATTAAGAAGTAAAACGTAAATTCCAGTCTCAAAACGTCTGCAAGGCCAGTTTGAACATTTTAACAATGATTCTTGCTTTGGGGAGGGAGGCTCATGGATCAGCAGAGTCAGACAAAGGCCCCTGAAGCAAAGCAACATCTCCCATTAACGAGGAGAAAAGTACCACCTTTAATAAGATATAAATAAGGCCATACACATTTTTTATTAAACAAGGAAAATATAAACTCAAGTCAGAAAAAGTTGTAAAAAGCACACCAAGTATGACTACCAATCCTTAACTCTAATGTTTCCTATTCAAACGATTCAGACCCTCAGATGCCCTCCAAATTCACTCTTGGAGATGACCTTTCAGCCAACCAGAAGGCCCCAAACATGAGCACTCACACCTGTGAGGAACGTGCTTCTGCGAACAATCAGCCACACAAGCCAAAGGGCAGCAGTTACCCAAGAACGAAGTTCAGAAGAAGCAGGAGGGGGCAGGAAAGGTGGGCAAATGGAAAGGAGAAGCGGGGAGGAGGGAGAAAGACTGCTGCTACGCTGACACTGAGGTCGCAATTCGTGTCATGAAATGAAGAGTCTACAAATTGTAGAATGGCAAACTAACTTGCTCTGTGAACGTTCACCCAAACAACAACCAAATGTTCAAAATAAACACCTAAGGCTATAAAAGTTTTTCAATCAAAATCTGAGCCTGTATTGCCTTCTTTAGCTTCTAAAATCTGACACATTACGAAGATTTTAGCCCAAACTTTAGGCTCCCAAAGCCAACAGGGAATCTGAATCCGTATGACTTAACACTAAAGAAAACAAGAAAAAAGCCTTAATGCACAAGACCCAAAAGAAACACCACAAAGGGGGGGAGCGGGGAGGGAGGGGAAAAATGAGGACCTAATGTCGGGGGTTTAAGTGGAGAGAAAATGTTTTGAGAATGATGTACAAATGCGCTTTACACAAGTGATGTGTGTATGGATTGGGATAACAGTTGTATGAGCCCCTAATAAAATGTTAAAAAAAAAACAAAAAAACACCACAAAGGAGACGCTACAAAGGGTGTAACTTCAAGAGAACCGCAGAGCGCTGGCAGCCTCTCCATTACTCTCACAGGATCACTGAGATGAAGACAAACACGTCACTGCACACGGACAACTGAAAGCCCCGCCAGGCTACTAAGCATGCCATTATTCCACAAAAAAATGCTCCTTTGAACAAGAAGTAGTTGGAGCATCACTGGAAAGAGCTTTCATTCCTGGCATCTCACCTACCAGGAATCTAGTGGTCAAGTTGTGATTCTTCCTTCCCCTGGCCAGTCACTTGCCATTGTAACAGGTTTACCAAAATACTTCACCTCTTTGGGAAAAAAAAAACAAAAAACACACAAACAAAACTTCACCCCTTAAAATGCTTGGTCCTTCAGTTTTGACTTTAGGACAAGACAAAAGGCAGGGAGATCCATCCCAGAGTTATCTAATTAGCTCCTGGACTCTTCCCTTCATCTATTTCTCTGTGGAAGAGGTGAGGCAGAGGAAACTATGGAGAAAGCTTTGTTGACTTCAATGCCTACTTTGGGCCTCACAGCTTGAGTTAAATGCAAAGAAATCTAGCAGCATGTGACTGAGAAAAGGGATGACAGTTAAGTAGACCAGGAGAGTGGCTCTTCCGTGCCATGCAGTGTCTCCCATAGCTCATTTCACACTGGACATATGTTGGAAGTGTGGGGTGGCAAGGGATGAGTCCCTGATACTCCCCCCAAGGTTCCTACCCTTAAAAAAAAGCAAACTCTACTATATGCAGGTATTTTGACAAATTACCCAACCCTACTACCAATGACTATGACACGCTTCTGGTCCCGGTCAAATAGACTCTTTCAAAACAAAGTTAATCCAGGGAGTTGTATTCAGTCAGACAGCTTCTAGACGTGGCTGGAATGCTAAGCATCATCTGACCATAAAGGAGGAAGTTCCACCAGGCAGGGCAGCAGACTTTAAATAAAGCCAACTGATCTCAGAAATTTCCAAAGTCCCAATAAATGCAGAGTTGACCAAAGGAGGAAATTAACAACACCATGTTGTCTGGCATAGACCTGATATGACTATCAAACAAAGAGATTCAGTCACAGAATCAAAACTCCATTAATCTCTTTCTATACATGATTTGGCAGAGTGGATTATCTATGGGGCCGCTGACCACAGAGTCAGCAGTTCGAACTCACCAGCTGGTTCTGCGGGAGAAAGATGAGGCTTTCTGCTCCGATAAGAGATTTACAGCCTCGAAAGCCCAAAGGAGCAGTTCTACTCTGTCCTCTGGAGTTGATATGAGTCAAAATCGCCTGGATGGCAGAGAATTTGTTTCTTTTAGCAAGCCTCTACCTCAATTCTCACTTCTTTGGCTTGCATGTTTAATCTCTTTTACATCTCCAAAGTGCCCTACAGTAATCCTGCCTTGTTAACATACCCAAGAAAACACATTCCCAAATAGGACTATAACTAGAGGCAGAGGTTAGGGTTTACAACACATGTGGGGGAACAAAATTTGGCCCCTAACATAACACCTTTGGCCCCTCCAAATTCATGCCCTTCCCACAAGCAAAACACATCCACCCCTGGGTATCAGCTAGGTCCACTGAGGGCATAAACAAGGACACTTGTTGTAATGTTATTTGTAATAGAGAAACACAGGAGAGAAAGCTAAATGTTTGTTGACAGCAGAAGAGTTAAGTAACAGCATATGCATAATGTTATTTTGCAGTCAGGGAAAAGAGTAAGATGTGTTTAAATAAGCTTTTAAAGGCAAGTTCTCCCAGACACTGAGCCAATTACATATGACCCTGTGTAAACACACATACACACACACACACACACACACATAAATCAAAGAAGAAAAACCATCTACAAAGATAAACACACTTTAACTGCTGAACAGCAGCCACTTCCAGGGTCGGGAATGTAATTAGTGGGCTCCTAAAAGGTACTTTTTCTTTCTATTCTATATATGTGTATAGAACATATTCATATAATTATCGCATATAAAAACATAAAGGGAAAAAGTACCTGCTACAAGCCCTCAAGGAGGCCCTGAGGTCATTCTAGACCCACAAGCGTCTGTGACGATGGGGAAGAGTGCAGCACACCTGGTAAAAGGTGAAGTGGGTGCCCACCAAGGACCTGCCCAATCTGCAAGCATCTGAGGACGGGAAAGCACACTTTGCCTGTACTTGGCCAGCTAGGCCTCTGCTCATATAGACTCATAATTCCTTACACTTCCGGAAACCTTTCTCTTTTTTCAATACTTGGCAACAAAATCTAAACTGACCCCTTGTGAGACACTTGCAGTCTTTTTGATCCCCTTCAGCATGGCAATTCACATTCCCTGCAGAAAGTATCAATGGGTTTTGACTACTGGATAAATGGTGGAGAGTCACTGACTTACAAACTATGTTACAAACTATGTGCTACCCCTTTCTAACATGTGAAAATGTCTCAACTCTCAGGCTATCCCACAGAAAACTGTGGGCCTGCTGCTCAGCAACCTCAACATTCCTCCTCAGGCTTTTCACAGCCCTGGGGGTGCAGTGCGAAGCCCAAAGCCCGGCTAGAGCACTCAGCTGGGAACCAAGAGGTCAGTGAATGAACCCAACCCCCGTGAGTTCGTGGGAAGTAGAGGAAGCAATCTTTCTGTAAAGATTGATGGGAAATCCTATGGGGCAGTTCTCCTCAGCCCTAAAGGGAATCCACCAGCAGCGTTGGGTTGGGTTGGGTTGGGAGTGGGGGTGGAGAAGGGCTTCCCAGCTCCTCTTACCTCGGTAGTGCTCCATTCTAGTGTGGTGGGTGATACCCTGTGACCGGAAACTGAGGCTCAGGATATAACGAGGATCAGAGCTATCTCGTACCAGGAAAGAACCATCTGGCTTCCCTTTCAACTTCATCTCTGCATCTTCCCAATTCATTGGCCCCCAATACCAACCACACTGTCAGAGACAAGAGGTGGTCACACAGTTAACAGAACAGAGAAATGGCTTATTTTCTAGCACACTCTACGTACCAAAGAAGAACACACACACCCCGCCCCCATTCTCCAAAACAGTTCACGAGATAAAAGCAGCTGAGAGCAAAGCAGTTTAACCGTTAGCATGCTCACTAGTCACTCTGTCTTTGGCCCTCAAAGTAACAGAAGAATTCTGCAATTCCATTACACCAAGATGAGGTCAGTTCATCTTTCAAGATCAGCTGAACCATGTACTTTCCTCTTCATGTCTATATCTTGCTTTCTAAATCCAACGTCACTACATTTTCTATGGGATTAATAATAACAGCGTATGGCTGTTGTTTTGACAAATGCAGAGACAAGAGAACTACTCTTCCTATAAAAAGAAAAATAGGATTGGAGGGGGGGGATGTGTCTGAGTTGGGGAGAGGGTAGCGGGTAGTATGGGACCTGCCAGACCTTGGGCACCACCTACCTTCTCTAACTCTCGGAGGCTGGCCGCAAAGCTGCTCGAGTCAGGCCGATAGAGAGGACATTGGAAGTGCTGGGGGGGCTGGCTATGCAGGGACTCCGCTGCTCTGATGGGGGCAATCCGGGGAAACGCATCTGCAGGGTAGGAGAGTGGGGAGGGGGGTCACTTGCTTCTCTTTGTTGCTCCCAACCCCAGGCAGACCCTTCCCGCAAACAGAGATGCTAACTGAAGAGGGGCGAGGCATTAGAAGCTAAGCTGGAAAGGGTGAGAGCCAAAGCAGTAGGAAAGAGCTGATGGGCCAGAACACAAAGCTTGTGGGCTCGTGGAAGCTGTGAAGGATGGGCGGGGCACTTACCCTCAGGAGAGGGAGCTGCTCACTAACCTGACTAAGGTGACTACTTCAGGGGCTTCACCAGCCTAGAGCGATTCCAACTTCTCCCACCTCGAGGTGAAGTGCCGGGAAAGCAGCCTTGGAAATAGTGGCTGGCTTACTTGCCCAGGAAGAGTAAGGATTTTGCCAGGCAAGTAGAAAAGTATGCGGCTTTCATTCACTTTATTCCTTGAGTACTGGAGGCTGGCAAAGCAGGTGTGGGCTACTAAACGTTTGGTACTTATTTACAAGGCTGCAGAGTCAATGTGAAAAGCTCAGAAAATCACAGAACTTGGAAAATCAGCTACGTTAGGCCTCCTCGCACTGAAAACATGGTAACTTCTTAAGTGAGATCTACTCAAGGTGTGCAAAACAGTCTCAGCAGCAGAGACAAGGGGAAACCAACAAGACTTTATCTCTTTCTAACAAAAATCAGATTCACCACCATAAAGAGTGAGAAAAACCAGTTCTCAGCCTCTTTTCCAAGGAGTTCTGGCTTTCTCATTGGGCCAAGATTTCCAACGATCCATTCCTCCCATCCTTCAAAGATTTATCACTTTGCAATCCCAACTCTTGCAAGTCTTGCCTCTCAGCTAAGCTAACCTGGGGCATGGGGTGGAGGAGGCGGAGGTAGGGGGAAGGACTGCAGGGAAGACCCCATCGGAGCCACAAGGACAGATGTAGGCAGCGTCCCACTGATATCATCTAGAAGAGAGAACAAAAGCAAGAGGTTCAGAAAGAGGAGCACGGAAGGAGAGGAGTGAAGGCATGGCAGGACAGGGAGGAGGTTATCAGGCTGCCCTCTGGGGCGAGATGGCCTGATCTTCAGCATGTCTGGTTCCACACGGGGCAACAATCATTTTGATCCGCTTTTCTTGGAAAGCAGAAGTGTGAAGATATTCCTAAAGTAGCCTAGTAGCGATACATTCATGGCAAGATCAATAACTAACGAACTAATATACAGTTGGTACGATTAAAGCATGCAGGTAAGAGACTCATTTAAATACTCAGGGAGATGAAGGGTGCTGAGAGGGGACAGGAAGTAACTAGGTCATTATCAGAAAAAACAGACGCCTGAATGGCTCCTAGCCAAGAGCAGCAAGTCCCTACCCACCCACCACCCACCCCGCAACGAGGACAGGTGGGCAGAGAGGAGGGACAATACCTAGGAGGCTGAGGCTTCTTCTCGGAGGAGGAGGGGGAGTTGGAGGATGTGGAGAGGTCAGGCCCCGTTGAGAGATGTCCACGTCCACAAGTGACACTGTTTCACCTGGGGGTTCACAGAGCAGCTGTTAGAGAGGCCCCTTGCTGCGGGCCCCGGAGGAAGGCAACACGGCTCTCCATAAACTCGAAACCTGGCGCTCTCCAGGTGGGCATCAGCCTGAACAGCAGAGGACTCATTCTAAATCCACCATTCCCTGGTCCTGTGGTGAGGGTCAGGGATGCTCTAGGACAAAACATGAGATTTAAACTCAAGGGCTTCCACCCTCAGACGCCATCAGGCAGGTGCAGAGGAAGCTTCTCATTAGGAACTTGGTAAGCGCGCCACATGATTTCCCTTTCTTCCCAGCAGGCCAGGTGGTTCTGTTCACCTTACTGCCCAATCCCAGCTGCCAGAAAATAAAGGATATCTTATTAACATTTAGGTTCACAGCCAGGAATTGGACTATTTGGAATGGACTGGTCCACAGGTCAGAACTCAGGAATTCTGCAATGTGGTGCTGCTTAGGGTGTGATTTCCAAAACCCTTTTCTTACTCAGGAGGCCAAATTAGACCTTACCTAATATCTTAATGTTCCTCGGTTTGAAAAAAAAAAAAAAAGGTGACCAATGCTGGGCTTTCAAGTCTAAAGACACAGGTTTATGTTTTGATGTTCTTTTTACAAAGGTCTTAAACAGTAAAATCAGAACAGACGTTCTCTCAATGTCATCAGTGGAAGTGCTAGGCAGCTGTTTCATCACTGCCAGCCTAGCTCCCCAGAGCCAGGTGGTGAAGGTGCCCCTGTGCCCTGCTCAGGATCAGAGAGGTCTAGAATGTAGCTAAGGTGCTTATATAAAGTCTGCAATTCAAGGGAGCTAAAACGGTCTGAAGCAAGAACACTAAACCTGAGCCTACAAATGTGGGTGTTCCTCCCTTTCAATGATTAACTAGAAAACATGCTGCCACAGGATGAGAGGCTTTAATTCTGGGCTTGAGGTTAGGAACAGAGACCTCCCTTCTCCACTACAGTCTTCCAGGAATGGGAGCCCCACTGCCTACTGAGCACCTTCCTGAAATGGCCGCTCCCAAATCATCATCGTCACCATCCTCTTGAGGGCACCCTCTCTGAAGGGTCTGGACTAGGAAATAGACACACACAACAAAAGCCTTCTCAGCCATCCTCAGAAGGGGTACTGAGCTCTGAGACTGGAGGCAGTGTGGTAAAATCCTTTTCTGTTATTCAAGAAGGCACTTCATATCTGACTGATAAAGTCCCCCATAAAACAAGAAACAGCCCCCCCCCCTCCTACATTAGCAACTGTGTTCCCTGCTGCAAGAGGAGAGACTTAAATTAGATACAACGAAGAACTCCAACAGCTGCAAGAGCTGCTAGCCCCTAAAATGAGAAGAGCTCATGTAATCTCCTGTACCCAAAGTCTTTAAAAATAGACCCCGTAAGTAGGGATCATGTTTATTAGGTAATCCATCAACTCCTTTGGAAGCAGGGACAGGAGCTGCATGACTTCAGGAGTCTTTTATGCAGTGGGATCTTTATAAATGTGTAATTCTTACTTTTAATCATTACGTGATGGCCCTGAACTAAGCACTGCAGCTAATGGCCAGCAAGCAGCCTTGAACTCAGATTATCAAGCATCCTCCACCTCAAGACCATCTTTCACACCATCAAAATAACCAAGCCCAGTGACACAGAACTGCGGACCGGCCGGATGCTCCCTCTGCAATACATCTGTACATGGGCTTCCTGACAGCTCTCAGAGCACTCTGCTTTCAGATGTCAAAGAAAAATATATCCCACATACCTGTGAAAAATATATCCCACATACCTGTGAACAGGGGGCTGAAGGAGACCGGAGAAAAGGCACTTTGAGTTCTTGTCAACCTGGGTTTCCTAGGGGGTGAGAAAACACACAGGGGGGAAAAAAGGGGGGGGTGGGCGAGTGAACATGTATGAATCTGAATCACTCCAACACTCAATTCCAGATGCGCTGAAAAACAAAGAACGCCCTAGTCATTGTCGGCAACACTCTTGTAATACAGCCTAAAATTTTAAGAGGGAGAATGAAATAATTACGGCAATTCCTTAAATAGATTTGGCTACAGAATTCACCAGCCAACAAAGCTGGAGAAATCCCTCTGGCTCTCTCCCTGCCCTGCACATTATAAGAGTAAAACACCTAGAGTGGTAATTAGCAAGTCCATTTCCGGAGGAGGAAATGGGAAGCAGAGTTGATTTTCATCTGGGCGCTAAGAAAAAAGGCTCTTGCCCTGGCCTGGTTCCAGCTCAGAGCAGTAGCTAGTGTTCTCTCTGGGTCTACCCCTGGAGGAGGAGGTCCCAAAGCGCCAGGGGCGATCCTGGAACAACCTTCAACCAGGAAGACATCTGCTTTCTGCACAAGCGTCTGCTTTCTGCACAAGCGTCCCCAGTCATGGGTCCAATCTATCAGCTAAGAAATTCTGGTCTCTGCTGAGCAGTCAAAGAAGACCCCTTGTTGAGCTCTCCTCCAGACCTCCTGGTGCAATGCCAGGGAGCCAGCATGAAAATCCAAATCACCTGAGAAAAGTTACATTAAAGGTGAACTTCACCTTGTACCCATTTCAATTGGTTTTTCAGTCAGAAACAAAAAGACAGCCCTATGCTTCTGTCAGACTTTCTGGCCAGCGCACAAACTCACCCTGGGAAGGAACTGACAGCAGAGGAGACAGATTAGATTGCTGCAGCGAGAGATACCTGCTGTATCTCAATTTTCATGCAGGTTATGATGACTACCTACGCTGGTCAAAATTAACAGAACTGGATACATACAAAAATAGGCATGGGGGGAGGGGCCTATATATAATGATGTGTTAGTGAATCAAACTTAAAAGTTTAAAATCCCACCCGAGTTTAGTGGAGAGTACTCTGAAGAGTACTACTGTGAAAGGGGCTTCTAAATGTACATAGAAACATGGGCTTAAAAATAACAAATTTCCTGTGAACTTGTGAAGCTCCATCGTAGTAGGCTCACCTTCTGAAAATACCCTCATCCCAAAGACTACATAAAACCCACTCTGTACGGCGTTCTGGGGGCACTGTCTGAAAGCACAGGGTTGCTCAGCGCAAGGATTCATGGTCTCGAACCCTACTCGGAGTTGAAATTGAGCTGCTGGACGATCAACTCTACTCTTGGGGCTGGGGGAAGGGGACAAGGGCAAGGAAGTCAGATTTAAGTAAGAGATGTTGGAAGATGCTTACGCAGTTACCTATTAATACAGATGCCTGAACTGCTCAGAATTCACGTCAAAGGTAACACCAAGCAAGGAAGGACCTTCCTGAGGACCAGCAGGACCACTGACTGGTTCCTTGTTCAGACCTATTCTCCAGCGCCATCTGCAACCTGCCCCACCGGGAGAGCCGAGTCCACTAACGGGGCTGCTGTGCAAGGAGGAGGCATCCCCACCCTCACCCAGCAAACCCAGCAGGAGGCATCAAAACCAGATACCAGCCTCTTGTTTAGAAGAGTTACTCTCAACAGCTTGCAGTTTAGTTCCAACACTCTGTGGGGCTGGCATGGAAAGTTCATTCCAGTGGACATGAACTTCAAGGTGACTGAAGAGCTCCCCAGCCGATTTTCTTGTGTGGACTTGTGGTACAACATTAAACTCAAGCCAGCAGGAATCTACAGCACTGGCCTTTCAAACGGTTCACGCCTCAGCCATTTGGCCGGTTGCCTCTTTTCAAAGGAAGCTGCCTTCCTCTGCCATCTGCCCATGCTGGGGACGGACAAGGCTCCTCAGCCAAGCGCTGAAGAGCGGCAGGGCCCACTGCACACATCTTGCGGAGGCCTCCTCACTTAGGCTCTTCTCCCCCACCCCCGGCACTCTGATGAAGAAAAGGCTGGTTTTGAGGATCTAGAAAAAGAAACCCATCTGAATCTAAACCCAGGCAGCGTCATATGCGAACCTCGGGATGGCTTCTCCTGGCAAGCAAGGGGGACTGGCTCCCAGCTGGCAGCTTGAAGGGGTCTAGGGGCTCTAGTAATAATGTGTGCACTTCCCTCTCTTCAGGGAGATACTGCCTAGCCAAAGAGCCAACCCATTTCTGTCTAAAGGGTCCTGCGAGCATTCTAATAGCAGTCATCCATGAAAAGACCAATCTAGACAGTTATAAAAATAATTTTTTTTTTAAAAAAAAAGAGCAAGGGAGTGACTTACATAAAATTGAGGATGGTGGTAACCTGGACGGAGGGAGAGAGGGGATCTCATCAAAAAGCAGCACCCAGGTGCGTCTGAGGTGCTGACAACGTTTTCCTTGCCAAGACGGTGCCTCTGCACACACAGAGCACAGGACCCCTGGTGCTGCAGCCAGTGAACCGCTCATTCGCTGACAGAAAAGGCTGGCATCGTGCCCATACACAATCACAAGTCCCTCGGAAGACAGGCCCGGGAGCTGCCCCACAAAGAAGGCAGCCTTGGAAACCCTGGGGCCCAGCTCTCCTCTGCACACACAGGCTTGCCATGTGTCGGAATCAACCCAACGTCTGCCACCCACCACCATTCCCCTAATGCACCTCCTCTGGGGTGTGCGTGCTTTCAAGTGACGCAGCCCGACCGAAGCCCTAACCCGCAGGCTCCCTTTGTGGAGAGCAACAGGACTAACGCAAGCGCCACTGCTTGCGCTGTCAAGGTCTGTGCATCTTTAACCTTCGCTCCTTTATGACACGCCCCAGCTCCTCCTTCCCACATCATGTGACAAGCGGCCTTAAGGCACCAAAGTTCTGCCAGTGTAACTCTGCCAGTGGGTCACTAGTGTCTTGGCAGAAAAAGACACTTGAGGTTAGCCTTGGTGGGTTATGCTTCAGGGGGCAGGGCAGGGCAGAAGAGTTTGGCACCTGAGGTTGGCAGTCCTTTGTGGCAGCTGGGCACTGTCTGAGCTGTAGGTAAGAGAGCCCAAATGGATGGGCAGAGGCCCGTTTCACCCTGCAGATCACTAAGTCTACGGCATTAGACAGACGACAGTACACAGATAGACTCACTGGCCAGTTTTCAAATTCCTTGAAAACCTGAAACACAGTCAATGGAACAGAGAGGCCCTCCCTTCATTGTCTATCATTCACCTCTACTGTGGCCAGGGGGCTTGAATGCTTCCTTTCCTCAAAGAACTTCCAAACCAGGATGTCCAGGTGCCAAGATGGGTGGCCCCAATGTACCTCTGCCCCTGCTAAAGCAGAGTGCCAAGTCCACCAGCCTGTGCCATTTCCAAGACTCATACGCTAGTGTCTGTTCATGTGCTACAGGCACAAAAACCATGTGTTCATTTTTAGTTCCAATACACAGACATCTGTGCAGCAAGGTCAGATCCAAAACTCCATCCTAAACCAACGAAAGAACCATGGAGGGAACTTCCAGGGAAAAGCAAGGAGGACTGACGTTCTCACTCACTCACTCACTACCATCGAGTCCACGCCGACTCACAGCGACCACAGAAGGCCTGCCCCTGTGGGTTTCTGAGACCGCAGCTCTTGCCAGGAGTAGAAAGCCCTATCTTGGCACAAGAGGCACATCATTCCTACCAGGAATGATGCTAGTGAGGAGAATTTTAAAGTGTGAGAGACATAAGACTCAAAAGGGACAGAGAGCTATTGCCAAAAGACAGGGGCCTCATTCAAAAAGAGCACTGCCAAGCACAAGTCAGACGCTCCTTGCCATGCCATACAGCCACTCTGCTTTCAGGATGGCTCAAGAAGACCCCCTTCGATCTAGAAACCAAGGAAACCAGAAAGAGGGTTTCTCATGTCTGCCAGGGCTGCCCACGACAGCAGGGCCCCATGCTGATGCCAAGACAGCCTGACGCTCTTTCCAGAATTGACTCTCTTCTCCAAATAGACAGATAGGAAACCACTACAGGCTTCATCTCCATTTCTCCAACCTCACCACTTGGAAGGCAGCCAGCCAGAGCCTCAACTGTGAACTCAATAAGCAAGATCTTGAAAAACACATGAAGTACCTGTTCTAACCAAGGGTGTAGTGTGTGATGATTGCAAAAGGTAGGTCAGGTCACTAGCCATTTCTCACCCAATTCAAAGGAAGGCAATCACCTCAACATATATGAAGCAGAGCAAAGACCCCCAGTGGTTTTCCAGAGTAGAACATTCTATCCCACCAAGGTCCATGGATGGGAGGGCAAGCTCTCTGCACAGGGGCATGGGTGGGAGGGTGGTGGTGGTGGGGTGTGTGTGTGTGTCTGTGTAGGCTGTGGAGGAGTGGGGAGGGCAGTTCCTGGGAACTGAAACCTGATTAGCTGCTGGCTCCATGGCTTCCTTCCCTAGAAAAATTCTCTAAGAGAAGTCGCATTGCATTTAAGAGGAAGTCTTATCCAGGCAGCCTCCCCAGCATCAGAAAGAAACTACAGTTTTGCTTAGTGTTAAACTAGGAGAGCTGTTCTATCTTATAAGATGTGGTAGGACCTCACACCCTGGTGGCGCAGAGGAGGTGTGTTGGGCTGCCAACTTTAAGATGTGGTAGGAAGCAGTTTCTTGATGACTAGAGTTGCGGGCCAGGAGGATGGCAAGAAGGGCAAGGAGAACAAGGCCCAGAGGTTACCGTAAAAGGTCCAAGTTCTCCCACAAAGGCAGTAGACCCATAATTAACTCCAATCAACCCAAGAGGAAAGCCTAAGACTGCCATTTCTCACTGCTCTGGGGTCCCAGCCTACCATCAAACCTGGAGAACATACTACAACACGCCAAATTCATCCTGCCTCCAACCGGGGCAACCTGACTCAGGCAAGGTGTAGATCCCCAGACACCACAGCCACCTGGCCAGACACAGCCTGCTTCTCACAGTCACCAGGTTGCCAGGAAGACTGGCACCTAGTAAGCTGTGGAAGCGCTAACAGGCACCACCAAATCCTAAGCATTACGGAAAAAAAAAAAAAAAAAGCCCAGCTCAATCTCATTAACACTTCTCCAAACAGGCACAAAACCCTCCTCTCCATTTCTCTTGTCTGCCCTTAATTCCCATGAGGGCAAGAACAAGACCCCAGGCCCAATCCCATTTTACAGATGGAAAGAAGGGGACACAGGAGGAAAACCTCTTTGGCCTCCACCCCACAATGGATGGTGGGGTTCTGAATGGAGTACAGACATTCACGGGTGCTATCCACAGAAGCTGATTGCCAGCAGCAGTCAGCCAAATGTCCCTTCACAGAACCACCTCCCCTCCGCCCCCACTCTTCTCCAATTCATCAGAGAAAGTCCCTGGACCACAAAATGTAATTCTCCAGTGCCCTGAACTAAGCTTCTTTGCAGAGCTACAGCCCAATTTGCTCGGCAGCAGAAATCTGTATTGTGCTTAGTGTGAAGGTTGGTAACAGAGCAGCCAATGACCATTAAATTCTGCTTCCAAAGGCAAAAAAACCATATAATGTCATATGCCTCTTCCTAATCTATTAGACGTAGCAGCTAATTTCACGCCACATGTCAGATCTGGCGTCTTGAGAATCCTGAGACCAAGTCCTGGTCATAAGGAACAAAGGCAAGACAAACTCCCAAAGAAACGAATATCTACCCTGTGTCATTGCCCACAGCTTCCATCCCATCCCTTCTCGCGCCACCCCACCTCCGACCGCCCTCCAGGATGGGGGGGGGCAGTTGGGGGGCCACGGGACTCTCATAGCTACTGGTGAGTCTTGGAGCATGGAACTCTGGAGCCTACCACCCAAAAAACTGTTGTAGCTACCACACACTGCATGACAGAGGCTGCCAGCAGGGATTCGTGGAGGGCAAATGCAGAAAACACCGGCTTCTGAGCAGGCGACAGGCATCCACCTACGGACGTCTTCAGGGAGCCTGAGCTTGGCCTGATACCCGAGATGAGCCCAGAGCAACGGCTATGGGGAAGCAGCAGCAGAGGCGCATCATGCCCACACTTGCCTCAAGCTCCCCTGTAGAGAGACACTCAGGGGTGGGGGGTGAGGGTTCCAGGCCAGGGCATACTTCTGGGGAGGAGCAAGTGAGGAGCTTTTATAAACACTGGAATGAGTAGCCTCTAGACATACTGATCTTTGCAAAACAGCTCTCCAAGAGAGACCATTCCCAGGGCATGGTCAGAGTATCAGTGTATTCTGTCTACCTCTGATTCAGCACTGGCTGACACTACATTGGGGGGAATCTGTCACATAAGCGCCACTCAATCCAATTCATATCTTTCTCAGAACCTCTCCAGAAACACAAAGCACAATGGCAGTTAAAAGGGAAGTCTCATCAACAGAGAAGTTGACAGCTCTCTACACCAACACTAGAGAGTCACCGCTGGAGGTCTTAGGGGAGCCCACCCTTCAGCAAAGCCGGACAGGCAATGTCCACACCTGGAATTTTCATCAATTTGCCCTAGACCTAACATTGTACTACCTTCTATAACTAACACATCCTCCAAATACTGATAGGGGCTTGAGCTCACCCCTACCCTCTCTTCTCAGAGACACTGGTCAGCACACAGGCTTGTGGTAGCAAGCATGGCCAAGGGGAACAGCCAAGAAAGCATTCACACCCACCAGGGAGAGGTACCCAACGGGATGCTCTCGCCTTCAAATCCCGAATTCATCCCATCAGCAGGGGCTCCTGAGTGAGGAGGGGATGGAGGTGCTGGCCCACAGACAAAACAAGCACAAGTGCCAGCCTTGTGTGCCAACGCTCAAATGTTTCCAGACAAGGGGTCATGATAAAACATGCAACTTGGAAAACCAAAAAAGAAAGAAAACTGGCTGGGGGCTAGCCGGCTGAGAAACCCCCCCACCCCACCCCTGGAGTGTGAACTCCTTGGGAGTGGGAGCTGTTCCTACAATTTCCCAGCAGCTCCCCAGCTTGGACCTTTATGGAGTGGTCAACCACCTTTCGCCCCAAGCCTCTGCCTCCTCCAGAGGATCCAATCTTAAGAATCTGCGGTGTGTTGGCAAAAGGAGAAAAAGAAAAAAGGGGAGTGGGGGGGAAACAAGAAAAGGAAGTTGTCTGCCAGTCCCCGAAGCGGTCTCACCTCCCCGCGTCCAGCGCCCGGCCCGCAGAGCCACCCATGTCGGTCAGGCTGGCAGCGGAAGCGGCCAGCTCTCCAGAAGGCCTCTTGCCGGTCCCATGCCCACCGCTGGAGCCGCCGTTGCAGCTCTTCGTGCGAAAGAGGCGACTGAGGCGGATTTTGAGGGAGCCCTTGCGCGAGGGGCCTGCGAGCGGCCGGAGGGGCCCAGGGGGCGGCGGGGGCGGAGGCGGGTGCTGCTGCGGCTCCCCTCGACTCAAGCGTCCGGGGGGGACCAAGTCCTGCAGCGGGAAGGGGGCCGGAGGTAACTCGGGGCCTGGGGGCTGCAGCAGAAGCCGGCCGCCCCCTCCGCCTCCGCGGCCCGGGCTGCTGAGCTCCTCTTCCGAGCAGCTGTTCGTCTCCAGGCTCTCTGCCTCGGATTCCAAACCCTCCAAGACCAGCAGTGCGTCGCTCGTCTCCGTGGGGTCCTCCCCGGCCTGCGGGGCGGCAGCCGGCGGCTGGGGCTGCGGAGGGGGCGGC